GAGGATCATCAAAGAGAAAAGCTGAAAGATTGTCCTCGGTTGACTTTTTCATAATCATGGAAGGAATGGACTCCTCAACAACCCCATCTAAGACATCTATGAGACAACACTCGTCTTCTTCTATAGGATGTCGACTTGTATTGAAAACATTAAGCTTAACCATTACATTACCAAAAGAAAGGTCCATAACCCCGGATTTACAATTAATGTTTGTATTTGGGTGGCAAAAAATGGCTTTCCTAAGATGATTGGGATGTGGTTGGTAGGATTAGCAACTGGTTTGGTATCAAGGACCACAAAATCAACCGGAAAGTAAAACTTGTCAACTTTGATAAGTATGTCCTCAACCATGCCCCTAGGTGTTTTGATGAATCTATCGGCTAATTGAAGTACCACCGAGGTTGGCTTCAATTCATTTAACCCTAGTTGGACATACAAGGAGTAGGGAATCAAATTAACACTCGCTCCTAAGTCAAGAAGAGCTCTACAAACTTCATGGTTTCCAATCACACATGAGGTGGTCGGAGCACCAGGATCTTTGAACTTAGGTGGAGTGTTATGTTAAATGATGGAACTTACTCTGTGAGGAACACTTTTTTAGGGCTTTGTCCATTGTTCTTTATTTTTTGTGTGCAAAGATCTTTCAAAATTTTTGTATAAGGCGGAATTTGCTTAATTGCATCCAAGAGAGGAAGATTTATGTTGACTTGTTTAAACACCTCTATCATGTTATGAATTTTCCCTTCTTGTCTCCCAAAAGGTGAAGTTTCTTTCAAGGCATAAGGAAATGGAGCTTTTGGCTCATAAGATTTTGTAACTTGAAGAGATCGTGAAGAAGATTGGAAATTCCTATTTGGAACATTTTCCTTTAAGGAAGTAGGAATAAAATTGGAAACAGGACGGGTGCTAACTTTGGCTTGCACCGGTTCACTATCTTCACTTGGTTTTTCAACCCTATTGTCAATTTACTTGCCACTTCTCAAAGTAGTAATGGCTTGCACTTGTTCTTGTGAAGGACACCCCAATGTAGAGTTTGCTTCCATAAAGTATTGGGCTTTTGGGTTCCTTTCAGGTTGGTTAGGCAATTTACCAATTTCTCTCACATTCAATGCATTAGCTATCATCTCAACTTGGGATTCAAGCTTTGATATCGATTGAGAATGAGAATACAACAAATTAGTGTTCATTTCTAAACTACCCAAAGCCACCAAAACCTTATCTTCAAATATAGAATTACTAGAAAGTACATGAGGATGATGAGAACAAATTTGAGAATCATACACTTGAGGATGTGAATAGTGATTCATTCTTTGATGATGAGAAGAAGATGACACAAATCCTTGGGAGCCTTCATTCCTTTTATGAGGTGGGATATATCTACTTTAAAAATATTTAGCTCAAAAAGGACTTGAATTTTCATTCCACACCGAAACATAAACATTTGAATAAGGGTGAGCAAATGTAACATTGACTTGTTCAAAAAGTTCATTAAACACATGTCCATGGGGACAATTGGAAGTAGAATGTAAAACACTAGAACATGTTGTGCAAGGCTCACAAGACTGATATGAGTGATGAAAATGAGATGAATTGATAACTGGTTTTTGACTTAATAAGAATTGATTAAGTTTTTGCAAAAGAGTTTTGACCTCGGCTATAATCTCCATTAGACTCTTAATTTAGCACACTTTCAAATTTTTCTTCTTTTCATTAGAATCATGACTCACTCAAGAAATGTGTTGTTTATGCAATGAATTTTCACTCATTTTTTCAAAAAGGTGCCAAACATCATCTTCATGCTTTCCAAAATATGAACCTCCACATAATATATCAACTATATCCTTACGAGTGTCAGATAAGCTTTCATAAAAATATTGAACCACTTGCCATTTTGGAATGCCATGGTGTGGACATTTCCTTAGCAAGTCATTCAATCTTTCCCAAACCTCATGCAAAAGTTCTCCTTCCCTGTGAGAAAATTCTCTAATGGCAGTTCTCATTGAATTGGTCAAACTTACGGGATAAATTTTTTTCAAAAATTCATTTTGTATTTGTGTCCAAGAAGTTATTGAATTCACCCCTAAGTTGTTGAACCAATGTTTTGCCTTATTTTTAATAGTGAAGGGGAAAATGAGTAACATAAGGATTTCCTCCGGGACATTTATGTATTTCACAATGGAGTATATCTAGAGAAATTCATCAACATGTTTATATGATTCCTCATCATTTAAGCTATAGAAAAGTGGACATATTTGAATAGTCTCGGGCTTAATTTCATATTGATCGGCCCCAAAGTTATAAGCACGATACAAGTCCGTGCATGGTATTCATGGAAATTGTAATGACCACAAAGAATCATTAGAAGAATTGGAGCTTGAACTCTGGGAGGAAATTGGTTGTGACGGGGATGTTCAATGAAATGCGGGTCTAAGTAACCGAGATTACCCTCTAGATTTTCCATTAGAATGCCTAAGATGAAGGGTAGGGAAAAGACCGCACAACACCTCAAGTAACACATCAACAAAAATAATAAAATCAAGCACTTCTCCTTTGCAACAAATCAATCAACAAACCTCTACAAAGAATGATCTCATACTCCCATGCTTTGAACAATATGCAAGAAAAATAAATTGCTTCCACACGGGCTCATGATCCATCTAAGAAAATAAGGACTTGCCCACACACGGGCCGACGATTTAACTAAGGAGAGAGTTAGAAAAGCTCACAAAGGGTCCTTAAACAACTTCAAATTAATTTTAATTTTTGCTTTGCTTTGCAATTTTTATATTTTTTCACTTTTGCTTAGCTTAGCTTGGCACTTTGCTTTTGAATTTCCCTTTGCTTCACTTCCCTTGGCTCAATTCACTTAGCCAATCAAGAACAAACACAACAAGTAACCAAAGTAAAATGAAAATAAAGACAGGATAAAAAGAGTACTAATTCCTAATTAATTTCCAAAATATGACGATGCCAAATCCCCGGCAACGGCGCCAAAACTTGGCGAGTGTCCTAGTATTAACTACAAAAAGAGGTGTAATGTGGCCAAGTTTAAATTTATAAAATGCCACTACCACTTCTAACTATAAATATATTTAGGGTGAGTAGGGATCGTCCCAAGGGAAATAAAGTGTATTTAGCTTGGAAATCAATGTTAGATTAGTAGGTCGAATGATCAAAGATGTTTTGTTGGGTTAATTAACTACAATATCAATCAAATGGATGCAAGGTAAAACAATTGAAGTAGAGTAAAATGTAGAGAATACATGAGAAGGGTCTTGGGACTTAAAGGTCACCACCAAACATCACCTTCCTAGACACTTAATGTGTAATGAATGGGGGGGGGGGGGGATTATATGTTGCAATACTAGTGTGTGTCATTGATTAAATCAACAAGCATAGATGACTAAATAAGTATATATTGTTTAGCCAAACTAGTGAATAGCACAACATATCAAGTTAAGTCAATATTCCTTCCTTTAAGTACACAATCAATACACATCATCAAACTAGAGAAATATAATACTTCCATTCATCAGTATGGAACATCAAATAAAAAACATGAATTGTCCTCCCATCTAAGAAAGTAAGACAACTACACTACAACTAAGTTAAGGATGTGAAAATTAAACTAATTAAGCTAAGGAAGAGGCACAATCCATCAAGAAATAAATATGAACTATCAAACAAACCACAAGAGTATTCCATTAAAGCACCATGCCTTGACCATCACTAGATTCACAGCATTAACACACATAGACATGCATCAATATCACAAAACTTAGAGATAAACACATGAACATCTATTCTAGCATACATAGACATATGAATATAATGCAATGATCAATTGGAAGTATTAAACCACATAAATCATTGTAGAAACAAGATTTATATATAAAACAAATATCAAGACAAGAATTACAACAGAAATCCCCTCAAAATACAAAACATCAAAGTCTAGGAGGCATGCTTAGGTCTATCTCTAGCCCCAAAATAATGGTTTAGCCACTTATTGATGTAGTCATTCAACCCTCAAGGGCCATCTCCATGGTAGAAATGATCTTCTTCTCCTTGATGGAAACCCTAGATGAGTGAAAGAACTCCCAAATGGTGTGTGTCTCTCTAATCTCTAGACTCCTCCAACATCTATTGTGTATATGGTTCTATTCTCTAAGATTGTATATGTATAAAATGGCCAAAAATCCCTATATAGGTAGCTCAAGTGTCATACCTAATGGTTAGACATCGTGCACTAGGACCTCCAAATGATTACACCACGAGCACACGTTTTAATTGGCTGGAACTCTATTTTTTCTCGCACTTGAGGAGGTTCGATCGATCACAAGGGTGGTCAAATTGATCGAACCATGGCGGCACGTTTTTGGAATAATGACAAATCTGAGATATTTTTGGGATATTTTGGAGAAAGAACAAAAGTGGTAGGTGGGGATAAGATCAAAGAAGTCCGATCGATCGAAGAAATGTTGGATTGATCGAAGATGGAATTTTCCTGAGGATAAGGACAAGTGGTTCGATCCATCTTGGCATGGTTGGAACGATCATTGTGAGATCAATCTGAAATTGGTCTAATTGATCGAAGATTGTTGTTTTCCACCTCTTTGTTTTCACTTTGCTCCTTTCTTCTACTAAGCTTGAGATTGCATCTTTTATGCTCTAATTCAGCTGAATTGACTTATTTTGGGGATAAGTGCCTAAAAAGGGAAATACCATGAAATTAGATTAAAACGGGAAAATAAGATAGGATAAGGTCCTAGAATGATCAAGCTTAAGGGTTTAAATGCGCACTTTTCAGCGCTTATCAGATGTTGAGAGAGAAAGTTGATTATACATTATTAAATGTCGCACCCACTAGTTCACCTCCAAGCTTTGGTTGCAAAAATTAACTTTGAAAATTGGGAATATTAGATGTTAGTCAATAGCAAACGACTTGAATGAGAAAAAAATTAGGTATTTATGAGATTGAAATTGTGCATGTGTTGCAGATGACAGCGTCTCACTTACCCTACACGCGTAATGGTCTAAAATTTTTTACTAGGAAAGGAGGCCTAACATCACCAGAAGTGGAGGAGATATGTAGCAGAGCTGCTCTGAAATATGCCAACAGGCTCGCCAAAGTTTCAACCATGTTGCCATCCCCAACAAGAGTGGACTTTATGAGCACTTATGCCAAGCACCTTAGGGACATAATCAAGGAGAGAGTCAACCATCCATTGCACTACGACACTCCTCTACAAGGCTTTCAGGTTAATTTCATTCTCTCATCTTTCACTAATTCTTTTCTGATTATGTATTTACAATAATATTATTCATGTGTTTATTTTTTTTGTCTCACCTCTCTAAAAATTATGTTCTGAGTAATTGGAAATTGTTTTAAGCAAACTGAACTGAGCAAGTCTATAGTAACTCATTCTAGTCTCGCATGTGTTGAGGGAGAAAATTGAACAATATTCCCTCCGTCCAAAAAAATAAATGTCTACCTTTCAATTTTTAGTTGTCCCAAAATAAATATCAAAATTAAAAATTTTTATAAAAAGCAAACCATCATAGCAACAATGTTGATGTTTTACATTAAATTGTAGATGTTTTGATAGCCCAATAGGTTAGTGGTGGATTTTGGAGTGCTAGACTTCGATTCTCTATACTTACTAATATAACTTTTGACACTTCTTACTAAGGGTAACAAAGTTTGACACGACTCAAATACGACACGAGTTAAATGGGTTTAGGTTGTAAATGGGTCGACACAATTAACCTCATGTTTGGGTTGATTGATTCAACTTGTGTAACCCGTTTATTCCTATTTAATTATAAATGTCATAAGCAAATTACTATTTAAGTTCCAAAATAATTATCTAAACTTGTATATTATAATTTATTTTTTTGTAAATTAGAGATTATTTAGTAATTTGATTGGATTGAAACTTATATTTTTCTAGTATTTAATATTTGATCGAGTATTATTAATAATTTAAATAATAAAATATTTAATTTTATTAAACAAGTCATTAAACGGATTACATGCATAACCCGTTTAATAAATAGGCCGGATTAGTATTGAGATTTTCTTAAAACAATTATTAAACGGATCGTGTTCAGATTGAGCTGTTTAGTATAAGACCCTTAAAACAATATGACACAATTACGACTCGCGAACACAAATTGCCACTCCTATTTCTTGCCTTTTAAAAATAAAAAATAAATAAATAATGTTTTACATTGAACCAAACAATGAACTTTTGGGCCTAGATCTTAATATAAGCAAAAAGTGGCCAAGACAAGGTCTAGTTTTAAGGCCCCTGTATCATGGACCTTAACCTCCTGCATGCCACTATTACCAGGCTCTACAATTCATGGACTACTAACGTGCCACTCAATCCAAAACCAATGTTGGGGCATCACCTAGTGGCCAAATTGGAGTGTCTAGCTTTTCGAAAGAGTGTTTAAATTCGGGCTTCCTCCGTTTGTTAAAAAAAAAATAAAAATAAATAAATAAATTGAAGAAAGAAAACAAAAAAGACCAATTTTGGACTAACCATTAGTCTAGTTGGCAGAACCTCCAATGAATGTGCCTATGCTCAAGTTGCCCCTTTTCCTAATTCGTCACGATTAAAAAATAAAAAAACCAAATTTTAACTTAAGAATTTAGCTATATTTCAAAAGAAAATTGCTAGATGTTCTTGAATTATAAGTCACTTTAGTCGTGCATTTAAAATTTCCAAAAAAGAAGATCCATACAAATTTAATAAATATTATTAACAATTCTTTACGCAAATTTTGATTGAATTAACCTAATAACTTTTGGTCCAAAATTATTTGATAATTTATACACCAATTAGAACATGCAAATTGGATCATGTTGCAACTGATCGAATTGCAGATAATTGTAAATGCTGGAAATGGATCAGGAGGATTTTTCACATGGGATGTGTTAGACAAGCTTGGTGCTGACACCTTCGGCTCCCTAAACCTGCACCCAGATGGCATGTTCCCCAACCACATCCCCAATCCTGAGGACAAAGTTGCCATGGCCCTGACAAGAGCTGCAGTACTAGAGAATACAGCTGATCTCGGAATCGTTTTCGACACTGACGTAGACCGGAGTGGCGTGGTCGACAATGCCCGAAACCCCATAAACGGGGACAAGCTCATTGCGCTTATGGCTGCCATTGTGTTGAGAGAACATTCCGGAGCAACCATTGTAACCGATGCTCGGACAAGCTTGGCGCTCACACGGTTCATCACCGATAGAGGGGGTCACCACTGCTTGTATCGAGTTGGCTACCGGAATGTCATCGACAAGGGAGTCCAGCTTAATGAGGATGGCATTGAAACACACCTCATGATGGAAACCTCTGGTCATGGTGCTCTGAAGGAGAATCATTTTCTTGATGATGGTGAGTTCTATATGTCCTTTCACTTCTTTTACATCTTCTAGCTAGTATTGCTGATGATTGTGTTTCGTTACTTCACTTAATGTTCAACATTGCATTCATTCATAAATGTGAGTCTGTGAGGAAATTACTTACTTCCTTGAGGTTTCTTATAAATTACGCTAAAGTTTAGGCTTTAACTGAGTGTGCTATTTTACTATTTCACACGCATACTACAAATAAATTTTTTAAGTTGTAAAGTCTAACTCGTTGGGGGCAAAGTTGGTATTTTGAAAATTTTAATGAGGTCTTTATATATGACAAGAGTAATGTTCTTTAGGCGTAATTACCTGATTCAAAAGGTAGGGAATGAGGTAATTTTTTTTTTTTTATTATTTTTTTTTAATCTGCATGATATAGTGAATGAGCTTAAATAGGGAGGACCGTACCTACCATATGTCCAGTGAGGGCAATTGGCCCTAAATATATTTTTTTTAGTATTTATACTAGCGATTTTCTTTTTTTGTATTATATACCTATGAAAATTTACCATTGCCCACCTCCCTCCCTTGAAATTACAAAAAAAATCACTATTGCCTCCCTTATACAATTTCCTGGATCTGTCAATCTAATTGAGGGTAATATCCACCATATCAAAGAGATAAACCCTTGGCTATACAAATAAATTAGAGAATCGTTCAAAAATCATTCTCTACGTGACAATTATGACTAAACCGACATATTTTTCTTTTGGTGAAACTAATCCTCATTCATATTAGTAAAACCTGCATACCATAGTACTAGTACTGCATGGGTTTAATTAACATGCTTTTATTTCAAAATTTGTTCTCAGGTGCTTACATGGTGGTGAAAATTATCATTGAAATGGTTCGAATGAAGCTCACGGGATCAGAAGAAGGCATTGGTAGTTTGATAAAAGATCTCGAGGAACCCTTAGAATCGATAGAACTAAGGATGAATATCCTCTCCGAGCCTCAACATGCGAAGGCAAAAGGTGCAGAGGCCATTGAAACATTCAGAGATTACATTAAGGTGTTTATCATCACTAACAAATAAACTTCATTATAAACATTTCCGAGAAAATATATGAATTTTAGCTACCTATATATAAATTTGTTTGCTGATCAATTGTAGGAAGGAAAACTACCAGGATGGGAATTGGACTCATGTGGAGATTGTTGGGTAAGTGACGGCTGCCTTGTAGACTCAAACGACACTCCGGCTTCCATCGATGCTCAGATGTACAGGTGCAACAAACACTATTACACAAATTGCTCTTTTCAAACTAATATATACATATATATTACACACACGTATATATATATATCTTCCTTTACTTTCCAATATATATGTATATTTATATATATATATGTTTAGATCAACTAGAATAGGCTCATGAGCACGCAATTCATATAAATTAACTTCTGCATATGCTGTTAAAAAGTTATGATTCGACCTGATCATTTACTATCCGAATTATTGCTTGAATTTCTGAAAAAAATAAAATAAAATAAAATAAAATAACTATCTGAGTTGAGCTCGAGTTGGACTTTTCTAGCGCATGAGCTCAGTTCAACATGATTCATTTGGGACCATATTGTCCTCAAAATCTACTTTAATTTGTCATAAAATTTGTAGATTATGTTGCAAATACAGGGCTAAAGTTTCAGACGACGAAAATGGGCAACATGGTTGGGTACATCTTCGGCAGAGTATTCACAACCCAAATATTGCTGTAAATATGCAATCAACAATACCTGGAGGATGCCATTCCATGACCAGAGTTCTCAGAGATAGGTATGAGACATTGCCTCACTAAAGACATGTTTCTTAAAATCTTTGGTTTTTTGAAATATGTATGTTTGTTGAATCTTTTCAGGTTTCTGATAGAGAGTGGAATGGATAAAGTCCTTGAGATTACTCAGATTGACGATTATGCTAAAAGTGGATGTGTTTAGATTAGGACGTGGTCTTCTCCATTGAAAATGGAATGGGGAGTTTTACCATAACAATACAGGTCAATTCAATACTATAGTGATGATGCATGTAGAATATATGCCTTTGTAATTAAAATTTAAAGAGGGGGTACATGTAATAAATTGGAAGTATCATGCTCTCTATGTGAGCACAAAAATACTCATAGGGCTAGCTCGACAGAATTTCACTATCAAGAGACTGGGCACAATGCGTACACGTGAATTGATACATAAATCAAATGGTGTTTTGAATGCATGAAGTTGTTTTTGGAATAAAAATATATAAATAGAAAATTGGCCCATAAATCAAGAACATGTGACACATCTTTCAGCATCTGTGTGCCCCATGTTCTTCTTGATGCGAATAGTGAGATATAACTTTATAATACTAGCATTTTTGGATGTGAATTGATCAATTTCAAATCCTTCTCCTTCACACCAATGATCACAGTTCACATCAAATACAAACAAAACAAGGTTTATAAGAAAAACCCTCTCAATAGAGAAAAATCTTAATTCTTGACCTCAGCTAATATAAGCTCCATTAGTTGTATGTAAGTAGTTACACACTCAGCTGTCTCACATTCTGCACATACCCTTTTACAAATTGAAATACTAGTTTTCACAGCCTCTAAACACACACCAGCTTAACACAATGCTTACAAGCACTCCCCGTCTCTTAAGCACCCTTGCTTAGACCCCGCAAGCTGTCATAGCTCACAAAATACAATAAGAAGTATGAACAATAACAATATTCATGCTTACACAAAGAATAAGAGTGGTTATGCAGCTCAAAATATCAAACAACACCCTCTAGAACACATTCTGCTGAAGTTAGGGTTTGAGGGGATTCTGCCCAAAATTCTGAGATGAACTCCATAGCCTTATATCACCATTACAGACATGATCAGATGACAAACATGATGAGTATAACATGTGAATCACACTATATAAGCAATAGAAACAATGAAGAACTAGGGTTTTGGTAGGTCAAAACCAAAGTTGACCACAACAGAGTTCAAAAACCAATTTCAACAGCCTTAATTCACCAAAATAAACTTGCTAACATGTAGATCAAGCATAGTGTAGCAAGATATAATTAAATCATATATAAATCACAAGGTTAAACTAGAAAATAACTTAAATCACCGGTCTTAGAGGTGAATTTCATTTGCAGCAAAGTGTAGTTCAAGAACAAGTACTCAATAAATGTAAATAGCTCAAATATACCTGTCTCAACCTTACTTTAGCACTACAACAAGCTCAAGCTAAAAGTGAACCCCCAAACTAGTCCTTACACTAGCAAACTTGACAACAAATGAACTTCATGATGAACACAACTACAATGATCAACTCAATGACATTTCTAAATGGATTACAGGCTCAAATCATCAAAAAGGACCTTAGAAATATTGGTTCATATGAAGCTCTCGAGTCATACACAATGTAGGTTCAAATTAGGGTTTTACAAAGAGGCGTATTCTACAGAAATGCTATAACAACATATGTATACTCAAGTACACTATCCTAGCTGTAATGACTCAGATTTTTTGGATAAAATTTTTCCGTTGTCTTTTCCCTTCTGAGTTTGGTTTCTTGTCGATTAGTGTCGTCTCGAGTGCTCTAAAGTGATTTCCGAGACTCTTTTATGTGAATTGACAACTTCCTTTGAGGACCGAGTCAGTTCTGCACTTTTCGTTTTTTGACACTATTCACTTTTTGTCTTTTCCCTATTTTGTCTTTTTCCCTATTTCGTCTTTTCCTCGTTTGTCACTCTGTTTGCATAACCACACTTCTTGTGTCCGGAGTTGGTTTCTAACTTCGCGTATCTTCATTCTCAATGATTTCTATGAGATACGTATCTTTACTTTCGTGAGAAAGTACTCTAGTTGCTCCCGGTGTCCATAGGGGCATAAATGCAAAGTTCTTTAGAAACTTTTTCTTTTCTTGGGGTGTTTTTCATAAATATCTTTTGAAGATATTTTATTTCAGGGGTATCTAAGAAAATATCTTTTGGAAGATATTTTCATTCTGGGGAAGTTTCGCAGTTTTCACTTTTTGGAGGGGTCATTGTGCAATTAATGAAAGTTATTGCTCAATACCTTGTTTTGAGCCTGGATCCTCATACGGGATTCATTTTCACATTTTGTCGAGTCATGGACTCTTAGAATTTTCTCCTAGATGATGTTTTCCAGTTTCAGGGTTTTTGGCCCCGGTTTGCGCTAAACTTGTTTTGGGTATAACTTTCTGCTTGGGACTCGGTTTTCTACGCCGTTTCTTCCGTTGTTCATATTTTCTCATTTGAAATCTTATTTGTTCATAGAGTTTTGCCGTTTGAGCTCGTCTACTTGAATTCCACTTTTCCGGACCCGGCAGGGCCCATTCAAGACACTTTTTGAGTTTTTCTATAAATAGGAGGTCTTAGAAAGAAAAATCAGATTTTTCTCTCTCTCTCCTCTCTCATGGCCGGTCCAAGCTCCATCCATGGCTGCCATCTTCTCTCTCCTCTTTTAGACTTCTTCCCTTCATAAAAAAGTGGTGATGCCTTTGTGTTTATTGTTCCCCTCGGCGAGGCCTTCGATTCCAACCGATTGGAATCTCGTTCTGGCCATTTCTTGAGTTCGGGTTTGAAGTCAATTTGTGTTTTTGATGGGGCTTCCTTGGGATTCATGTTCGTGGTGTTGTCCCTGACAAAACCTAGGAGTTTCGTCGGATTCAGAGTCGATTTATTTTGGTGGGGATTTGAGATTTCATCTCAAATGGAGGTAGGGAATATTTTTGGCTTTTGTGTGCATTGTATTGAGTGTTTAGCATGATTATACAACTTATATATGTGCCTTGTATCAAATCTAGAAAGTTGGTAATTTTTAATTCTTTGTATAAGATTTAAAATTCATGATGGTATATGACTGTGATTTGAATTGTGGCATGGTAGAAAATCTTGTTTTAACATGTTGGTTAACCTATATTAAATTTGGATTAATTAAATAAGAATTGCTCTTTTTAATTAATATTTATCTTTTGTAAAAGATTTAAGTTCATGGCCATACCTTGCATGGAATTGAGTTGTATTATGCTTCTAAATTAAGTTTTGGCATGTTTGTTAACATACTTTAATTTGAGAGCATTTGGTTGAGTTTGGAAATCTAGAGACTTTAATTAAAGGAATTAATTAAAATCTATTTTGGTGGTTTCATAGGCCTAATTAAGCTTGTGTGTGAATATATGTAATGACCATGATATGTCTATTAACATATATTAAATTGGGGCCAATTAGAAATGATTTGAAATCTAGAAAGTTTAATTATTTTGATGTAATTAAATTCTATCTTGTGTACCCATGGATCTAATCATGTTTTAGAAGTTGTTTCTATTTTAAGAGCATGGATTTAGACTTGTGATGTATTCACTAGATTATGTTATATGCATTGAAAAGCAGTGTTGTTAAGTTTACATTCATGAGAGTATGTTTCTAATATGAATATATTATTGGCTTGTGATTTCATAGCATTATGGATATGAAATGCTTATTATGCACAATTGAGAGTTATATTGCTAACTTGTTACTATGTAATAGTAATATGTATAAGTTATGAACTTATTTGGCTTATTTTGGAATCTTGGAGCATTGTTGAGTTAAGATGGCTAGGGTTTGGCTCTAGTACGAGGACGTGAGTCCTCTAAGTCATTGAGATAGTGCACACTTAGGGTGGTCTTCCCTGCGGGTCAGTGCCCGGAATAACCATTGAGGTCTCGGCAGAATTCCGAGCGTGATGTCCAAGTAGTCCACTGTTTTTTTCGCATTCAATTCCAAGTTGACAATCATGTTTACCTTGTTAACTTGTGGTTTTGGCTATTGGCGATTTTGATGTTGTTAAGTACATCCATACTAAATTGATATATTTAGTTGATTTCACACTTTTAGATTTCTAGTTGATAACCTAGAGAATCTATGTCTTGATGTGTGGTATTAGATATTCTAATTATGCTAAATTGTTATATTTAGTTGATGTTGCATTTTAGACTTCAAGATGATAACCTTGAGAATCTATATGTTGTTGCTTTGTGTAAGCATGCTCCTATGTTGTTGCTTTGTGTAAGCATGCTCTTATGTTGTTGCTTTGTGTAAGCATGAACCTATGTTGCTAAAATTGTATGAATGAGGTGATTGATGCTAGAAATGATCTTAGGTAGCTAGGATGCTCCTTGAGTCTCACCTTTGACATAGACGTTAGGTGGAATGAACCACTATAATTAAATCATGCAAACTTGTAAAACGTAGGTCGATGCATGCTCATTTCCTACGAGTAGCTTTATGTTACTCACTCCTACGATACTGGGGCATATTTCAGGTACAAGAATTAAAGTTGAGGTCTTCATTATGCTTGGATGGTTTGCGGACTTGGAGATTTCCATTTTTGGTGAAGGTTGGCTTGGAATGCCAATTGTAGTCTTATATGTCAACATATGTACATTTGATTCCTTATATGTAATATGTACATGAGTACACTCTTTACGATGTATTGGACATGTATGAGTTGAGGCCGGAGGCCAATGACATGTAAATTGTATCCTATGTAAATTTTGACTTCATGGAATATTATGAAAGTATTGTAAAATATTGAGTTTTTGATTCACCATGTTTGCATCGGGTGTGAAAATTCCATTTTGATTCTTCCATTAGCATTCATTCACCATGTATGAAGTGTGGCCAAGGGCCAAGCGGCATTTTGAAACCATTTCATAGTTTTAAATTCCAAGTTTTCGTTCCAAACTTCATTTTGGCATTTTGGCCGTTGGGGGGTCACATTTTGCATTGGCCATATTGTTGGGCCATGGATCATTGTAGCACATCTTACTAGGTAAGTTACATTTACGTGCATGGTCGTTTCCGGGCAAAGCTTCTTCTTTGGTGAAATGAGCCTCCTACGGACTCATTTTACACTTTTGTTGCATATTCTGACCTAAGGGTATTTTGAGAATTTTCTTTGGGAAATAAATTCCATTATTCCTATGGTCACTTGGAAAATATGATTTTAGGGGGGGTTTCTTCTTCGTGTTTTTCCAGAAAATGCCATCTTGGCATCGGAAATTGCATCCGAAGTTCAGCTCTCAGTTTTTAAATTTAGCAGCTTTTTGGACCCTCTGGACCAGTTTTCTTGGGAGGGCATTTTGGGCATTTCAAAATGAGTTTTTTTTCTATTTTTCTCACAAATCATGTAGAAAACTCGATTTTGAGGGGGGTTTCTTCTTTGA